TTTTTTTTGTGGTGCTGAGGATTGGACTTGGGGCCCAGGGTCTTGAGCATGCTGGTTAAGTTCTCTACTAGTAAGATATATCCCAGCTCTAAAAATTTTTTTAAATGTAAATTGAGCCTTCTCTTTTTGAATTGTTTTTAGCTTAGGACATTTGCCTGGGAATAGGATTTGATAATAAAAATAATAGTAGTATGCTGTGACCTCCACAGTGTAGAGTCTGAAGCTGGGGAAAGCAGTGGGAGATAAAGAAAATTGAAAAACAATAAGAAAGAAGGATACATACCAAGATTATACTTGAAAGCTGGGACCAGGTAGAACCATAGCCTGGTGAGCTAATGGCCACCTGGAATCTATCATGCTCTTTATTTATAGTTTAAGACAAACAGGAAGAGAAGGAAGGGTAACTAGTGCTGTGTGGCCTATGTGGCCTAGGCTGAACGTAGTGTGATTGTCTCCTGATTGGGGCACGTGCAGAAAGGGAACAAGGAAGAAGGATACATAATATTACTGTCTCCTGGGGCTGTGCCATCCAGAGTCTACAATTTTAGTCAAACAGACTGTTTGACTATCTAGTCTACGGAGGAGAAAAGGAGTAGGGATTAGGTGAAGGGCCATCTTCAGGCTCGCCCTGCAGAAGTAGTAATGATAACAATAATAGTAGCCAGTATTCTTTAGCACTTCATATGTGCTTGGCATTATCATATGTCCTCGGTAAACTTCTTATTTAATACTCATGCTAAACCTACTATCATCATTACCATTTTGTACAGGAAAAGAGAAGTTGAAAGGATTGAAACAACTTGACGCGTAATTGTGGGTAAAGAGCTAACAGCTATCATTTCCCTTTCTTCATAAGAATTTGACCTTTGGTTGAATTCCTAGCTCTGTTACCCTGGTAACCTGATAAGAGCCAAATGTCAACTGTTTCTAGGCAATGTTACCTTTGATCAAAATAACCCTGGATTGGTTACAGGGACCTGGGAACATCTATGAGGAGCAGTACATAAATGATGCACACCTGAAAGGGCCCCATATTCTGGGCTTCTCCGAGAGCCATGACCCTGGCATATCCTTTATGGGAATCCTGGAAGCTAGGATTCTGGAGGTGGGATGAGAGATGGTGCTCCTGTGGGACACCAGGGCAGCTCCTGCTCCTGCACCTGCCTGCTGCGGACCTCATCTCATTGCACTTGGGCTGCTGGCGTGGCACTGGACTCTCCTAGTTGATGAATCCTTCTTGGTGCTGTCATGCTGGCCAATAGGCTGTGTTCTTCTGAGTAAAGTGATGCCAAGAATGGCCATCTTGTGAATCTGGACATTCTATTTGACCTTAAAGATTAGTTCGTATTGGGCTGGGGGGTATGTAGTCATACAACCAGAAAAATAGAAGAAGTGGGAAAATCAGAATTGGAATCTGTGCATTCTGATTTAATGCACAAGCTTCTAATCACCTACTACAAACTCTCAGGGAGGCCCAAGGAGACTGGGTATCTTAGTCATTTGTTGGGACAAAATACCTAACACCTACAACTTAAAGAAGGTGATGTTTATTTTGGCTCACAGTTCAGAAGTTTCAGACCATGTTCAGCAGATTTAAACACAGGAACAGCATGGCAAAAGGGTCTGAGCAGAGGAAAACTGCTTATGTCATGGTGACCAGGAAGCAGAGAACAAAGAGAGGAGTTAGGGAGGGAGATGTGCCCTTCCAGGTCACACCCCCAGGGACTGGCCTCCAACCAGGCCCAACCTCCTGACAGTATGCTGTAGGGCCTCAGTAATCCAGTCACCTTCCAAAAGTCCTGCCTCTGAGCATGAGACTCTTGAGGGCCATCCAGATCCAAATCATAGCACTGGGTAACCACTAATATCACAGAGCACACATTTAGCAGGACCTAGTTTGTCCACTGCCCAAATTATACTCTTAACCACCAGTTAAGGGATAACTGTGAAATAAAAAGGGTTGTCACAGATGGCTCACTGAGCACTTCATTCATACTACTCTAATTTGCCTGCTCCACAAGTGGAAGGGGCTCTTCTTGATGGTGTAAGGGAACAGGAAAGAAGCTCAGCATCTCTGCTGCAGTTTCTCCTCTCTTTCTGATTTATGCTCCTCCTTTAAAAGAAAGTTATTTGAACTACTTTTAGACTTAAAAGATAGGAAACACTCGTGCTCCTGCATATCTTTCACTCAGGTTCCCTAAGATTAACATCTTAGTAACCATATTAGATGGAGCACAGTGAGAAGGCTACATTGGCACAGTCCTAACTAAACTGCAGACCTTGGTCAGATCTCACAGATTTTTGTTCTCTGTTCTGGGGTCCTGTCTAGATCCTACAATGTATTCATTATTTCTCTTTGGTCACCTCCGATTTGTAAACGTTCCTCAATCTTTCCATGTCAAGGCACTTTTGAAGAGTGCTGATCAATTTTTTTTTTTTTTTGTAGAATATCCCCCAACTTTGATGTATTGGTGCTTTCTATGATGGGACTGAAGTTATGAATTTTGGGAAGAATGCTTAGGAATGATGTTTTATCCTTTTCAGTGCATCAGATCACAGAGTCATGGTGTTATAAGTTTTATTACTGATGTGCATTCTTTTTTATTTGTTTTCTCTTCTTTTTAAAAATTCTTTTAACCCCCCAACATTCAGCACATTAAGATGAGGGTTTTGGTGCCAGGGTTAGTTATTCTATTAGCATCCCAGGTTCAGACAGGGCTGCGTTGCTGCTACCATTTTCTTCCATATTTTATTTTTCTAATTTTTTTGTAACTTTTAATTTTGCATCTACTCTCAGATATGGAAATCAATTCTCTCAAACTGAACTTTTTAGCAAGAACACATGGGCCATCCCATGACCCTTTTACCTCTCTGTCAACAGGGACAACAAATTGTATGTGTGATGGTTATGCTCTGGTGTTGCCGATACAGGAGATTTGGTCATGGTGATTAAAACTATCCTGAACCTGCTGTGCCCGGATTCTTGGAGAGGAGATGCTGGGGCCTTAGCCAGCTGTATTTTCTAGAGAGTTCAGCCCTGAGCAATAGGAAGCCCTGACAACAGGTCTGAAGAATTTCCTTCTCCCCTTATATCTAGTAGTGTCTGACCCAACCAAGTCTGTACTTCAGAGTATAGTACTCTTTGCTTCATTGTTGGGCAGATGAAGAGTTTCAAAATAAAGATTTTCATAATTGACTGAGGTTGGGGTTGGCTGGCTGGGTGTGGAATTTAGAGTCAGGGTAGGGATGGCAGATAATACTGGATCTTGGTCAGGAAGAGGAGAGTCCTATTTCCAGCAGGGTGCACACCTGTAAAATATGTCCTCCTTTCCAACTTTCTAACTCCATGGGGAAAATGATCCATAAAACCATAATTAAATGAATTAAACTGAAAATTTCAAATAAGTGGAATTTTTGTCTTCAATTTTCAAGAATAAAGTGTGAGTTCTTATCAGAAATCATTAAAAATTCACATACCAGGAGCTGGGGATGTAGCTCAGTGGTGCCACACCTGCCTTGCAAGCACAAGGTCCTGAGTTCGATCCCTGGTACAGGATGCGGTGGGGTGGGGATTAACATACCTCTAGATATATTTCAAGATAGGTAAAATCACCTCAGTGTCTCCACAACCTAGTTGTAGAATTCAGAGATGACAGAAATGATAGTGATTCACTTAACTGGTTCCTTGTTTGTTCCTTGTTTGCATATGGATTCTAAGGTACATTACATTCAGGGCAGTGAGTCCACTATGAAGAAGAAGGAATAAAGAGGTTGGCTTTTGGTTTGAGTGCCTTTTGGATAATAATATAATATAAACAAAGCCAGAGAACTGCATTTCTTTATATTTGGAATAAGCTAAAAAACTAAAATCTAAGAAGGTGACCAGTAGAGTCACTTTCTCCACTCCTTGTCTCCTTTTCAGTTCCCAAGAAACCACTGATCTCAGTTTCTTACATCTCCTTCCAAAGTTTTGTTATACATACAGAAATATAATCTTATTTTTCTCCCTTTGGGTAATTATTTATCTGAGATGTATTTTTTCTGAAGATTCTAATTCTTTAGATTTATCAGAAATTAATCAAAAATTATTAATCAAAAATATGTATTTCTTTTTCTTTCTTTCTTGGTCTCAGATCTTTTGACAGTTTTAAAAAATCAAATATTGCCGGGGATTTAGCTCAGCGGTTTTGCCGCCTGCTGCGCAAGCGCAAGGACCCGAGTTCCCCGGTACCAAAAAAAAAAATCAAATATTGTGGTCCAGGTGCAGTCCTTGTTATCCTCTGGAATCCACTTGTCCTCCCTCCCTCTCCAGAGGTAACCACTACCAGAGTTCCATAGTTATTATTCTTAGCATATTTATAAATTCATAAATAATTTGTAGTATTGTTCTATAGGCTGTCAAGATTTATGTAAACAATTACATATTGTAGTCATCTGTCTGTAACTTTTTCACTCAAAGTTATATTTTTGAGATAAAACTATGTTGAAGTAGCTCCAATTCATTCTTTTTAACTGTTGCATAATATTACATTGTTTGAAAAAACCCCACAGTTTGTCTATTATTTGTTGTTCCTGCATCCATTAGCTTGTGTGCTATAATAAACAATGTTACAATGTATGTATTTCAAAATAAGGTTATTCTCTCCAGTACATGTGAGTGTAACTATACCTTTTGAGGCCTGCAGCCCAAGGAAGGACCTTGGGGTTGTAAATGTTCCTGTCATTTATTCTTAGTACTTTCTGGGTATCCTTATGATAGATGATAGATGAATAGATGGAAGGAAGGGTGAATGAATGGATGGATGAATGCTTGAATTTTTTTTTTGGTATCAGGAGTTGAACTCCGGACCGTGAGCCAGGCGGCGGCACCACTGAGCTAAATCCCCGGCCAATGCTTGAATCTTTTAAGAAAGTTGCCAGACCTTGGAAATCTATCTGTAAAATCATCATGCCTATTTGAAAGAACGCCCCATTGAGTCTTAGTCTCCATTTCTTTCTAGATGTTGAAATGCTTCAGGCAAATACATCTAACACAGTCTCCGGAGATGGTTTCTCTAGACCTACTAAGGATTCTATGATCCGCAAGTTTTTAGAAGGTAAGTTGTAGCTATGAACAGGAAAACAAAAAAAGAGAAACAGACATTGCTTGATTCCATATATATGAAGGTTACTTCACCCAAGGAATGAGGGGCCACATACATGGCATATGATATGACAGAAGATGCTCTGCCTCCCAGCTCTCTCCACCCCACCTTCCCCTATTGGCCTGTTATATGTAGGCTGGAAGTTTCCCCTGGTGGAACCAGTTATTTGGCTAACCCAGTTGCCTCCAGCAAGACCTCTTTTAAAATGCACATGCCTGTTTTTCTTTGACCAAAATTTGTTGAGTACATACTATGTACAAAGCAATATTACAGATGTTGGGGTTGGGGACACACACAAAAATAACATATGATCAGTTTCCTTAGGACATTTTACTCTCTGATGAAGGAGAGGAAGATACATAAATTTGACTAAGTTAAGGTTGCATTGCATAGTGGTAAAGAACATGGACTCTGTTCTAAACTCATTTCTTTTTTTGTTTTTTTTTTTCTAAACTCATTTCTCTCTTCAGTTGGATGGAAAACATTGGGCAAGTTATTCAGCTCCTCTGGGTCTCAGTTTCCTCAGTTGTAAAATGAGACAAATGTTGTGAGGATTAAATGAGTTGTACATTAGGTCTCAGACCAGGCCCAGGCACATAACAAGCACATAAAGGTTTATAAAATAGTTATTATTGCTGCTATTATTATTATTGTTATTGAGGTTTCATAGATGGAAGGTGTTAAATTGTATGAGTAATTCCTTAACCATGTTGAATCATTAGTAACTTATAATGGGTCCATTAATCAAATAGAGGTAGAAGACAAAGTGCTGAGAGGATGGGACTCTTAAAAACAAATGGTTTTGGCAGTAAAGAGGATGAAAAAGCTCTAAAGCAGTGACAGACAAACCACAGCCTGGCTAGCTGTCTGTTTTTGTAAATAAAGTCTTTTCAGAACATACCATACCTACTCATTAGAATTTTCTGTGGCTGCTTGCATGCTACCAGGGCAGAGTTGGAGTTTCAGTGGACTGTATAGCCTGAAATATTTCCTAGCTGTACCTTTAAAATATACTTGCTGACCTCTGCTTTAAAACTAAGTGTTCCCCGAGAGGGGCATTCTGGGCAGCCACACATAAGTCTCTTGGTCAGTGCCTGGACCAGTATGTGGTCCCAAGAGGGGGATGGACAAGCCTGGACATGGGATTTGCTGCCAACATTGTCCTTTGGCCTCAGGTCTGCCTTTCTGTCTTTAGCAACATAGCAGGCCTAGTTTAAGTGCTTTATGCTTGACACTATATGATCCTCCGTGCAACCTTGCAAAGTGGGTACTGTCATTTTCATTTTGTGAGAGAAGAATCAGAGATATGAAGAGGTGATATGCCCAAGGTCCTATAGGTAGTAAGCCGAGTGTAGGAACCAGGATTCAACCCTTCCAGCCTTGCTCAGAGTCTCTGCTGTGACCCTTGGGTACATTGCCACCTTCTGAATGGAAGTAAAACTGTCCCTCCCTTTTCTCTGAAGGGACATCATGTGGCCACATGGTAAGAACACTGAGTTAGGAATTAGATGAGAGACTCTGGTTGTTTTGGTCTCATCATTTGGTCCTGACTTGAAGAGATAATTTTCTAATTATTCATTAAACTGCTAGTGTGTGCCAAACACTGGTGTCCGGGTATCAGTAACACTCAGTTCTCCTCCACAGAGGAGACAGACACATACTCCAAGTGAGCTTTCATTCAATATGGAAAGTACCGTGTGGTATAAAGAAAAATGCACCAAGTGTGGTGGGATGGCTTGGGGTTGGGCATTGGTGTTGGGCAATCTAAGGGACTCAAGAGGGTTTTGCACAGACAGATTCTGAGCCTGGACTTGTCATTTACCTTAATCTTGGGCCAGTTGATGTGTCCTGTAAGACTCTGATGATGCGGTGGAGGAGGTAGGGTGTGTCACATACTATCTGTTATACGGTAGGTATTCAGTATACACCACCTACCAGAGTGGTGCTTTCCAAACTTTTTCCTTTAGCAGTGATCCTCAAACTTGAGTGTACATCAGGCCCACGTGGAGGGCTTGTTAAGCTACAATCTCTGGTCCCACCTGTAGAGTGCCTGATTCCGGGGATCTATCTGGATGGGCCCCAAGATTCATCTTCTTGACTTCCCTAGGTGGTTCAAGAACTCACTTTGAGAACCTCAGGTCTAGAGCAGCATTTTCTTTTCTTTCTTTAACAGTAGAACCCTCTTTTGATCCCCGCTTTCCTAGATGCTCTAGAAAATTTCTGGACATATTAATAGTACATACTATATATATGCCTCCTTTTCTTTTTATTCACAAGTAATATCTCAGCACAATATTAATTTTTAAACAGCCACATAGTCTTCCATTATGTATAATATTACCTAGTATGTTTATGCAATATCCTATTGAGACTATTTAGGTTGTCTTCAGCTTTTTTGCTTATATAAACCTTTCCTCAATGAATATCTTTGATTTGTGTAATGTCTTTTCACATATTTGAGTCTATGTGTACTGTAAATTACTAAAAGTAGAATTGCTGGATCTAAGGAAGTGTGTATTTTTAATTTTGATAATATTATCGCTTCTTGGCCTTTTGGCTAAGATCAAGTGTTAATTTTGACAATATCAAAACACTGTTCTCTGATGTTTTACCAAGCTCAAATTCCTACCAGGGGTATACAAAATGTCTAAAGCACTAATATCTTACATGAAGGCTTAGTGTAGAACACAGATAAAACTCTAACTGTTCCCAACTTCTCTGCTAATCCTCTCATTTCTACCTGATGGGATTCTGGAAGCATATCTTGGGATTCTGCACCTCTGAAGAATTAGTTTGAAAACTGCAGATATGATGTCTGTAAAAGATAAGGAGGGAAGTGTGGAGATGAGGCTGGACAGGGGTCTGGGGCCAGATTGTAAGGTGTGTCCCTCCCTGTACCCCAGCCCTGTGGCCTTCAGCCATTTAGCTCCAGAGAGTTGTCAAGAGTCTTGGTAGGGATTAACTTTGTGTCTCCATAATATGCAGTGCCTGGCACAGAGAAGTACTTGAAACATATCAACAGTGTTTGTGATTTAATTTAATAGTTAATTATTTTAAATAACATAATATGATCAAGATGGGAGTAGCTGAAAAACAGGCTCAGAATTCATTCTGTCAGGGAACACAATAGCCTCAGAACTGAGTTCCTTTGAGGTTCCCAGGGAATCTGGCACCTGGGTGGGGCTGAAGAGTCTTCCTGAAAATTTTATTTGTCCAGTAGGAGCCAAAAGAGTTGTTGAGGTGATTGTCTGTAGCTGCTGATGGAATGAGAGAAGGGCATGGGACCACTGGTGCACAGTGTCCCCTCCCTCCATGAAAGTAGTACTTCTTGCATGAACCTTCCAACAAATACCCATGTATAGACACATGTTGCTAAGGGAAGTAGACGCTATTTGTGCCAAGTTCCACACATGTGGCTCTCTCATTTTCTGAAGCCGTAAAACTTTCTCCTATCATGGAAGAAACGGCTTCCTCTTACTCTGATAACGAAGCAGTCCTTAATGTTGCCTGAAGGCCCCCAAAGGTCTGCCCAGCCAGATTTGGAAGATACTGGGAAGGAAGATGAACACAGTACACAAACTGCTGGGGAGGAACAAATTCTGTTGTGTCAATCTCTGTTTGGCCTACATAGCATATTTCACCCAGAATTTATCTATTCATTATAAGAATAATTCTGAACAACTGCCATAACAGAATTGAGTTTCTGTGAGTTCCCAGGCCCTGTATTTGTCTCTAGAATAACATGGCAGGGGAGTCAGGGCCTGCCCTCCTGCAGCTGACAGTCAAGGGAGGGAGAGAGGCAGGAAACAGTCCAACATACTGATAAATGTTTAAGTGACATTGTGGCAGGGTTGTGGAGCAAAAGGATTAGGGATGGTGAGGATAAATACCGGGCCGAACAGTTTGTCATAGCTAAAGCTTGGAAACAGCCCAAGTGCCCATCAACTGGAAACTGGATAAAGAAGATGTGTTTTTTTTTTAATGGAGTACTACTCAGCCATGAAGAATGAGAAACTAGAGTCATTTATAGCCAAATGGAGGCATATTGAGGCCATACTCTTAAGTGAAATAAATAGGACACACATGTGTAAATACCGAGTAGTTTCTCTGGTGTGAGAAACTGAAAGTGTAAATAAGGGTTAAAATGATTAAAATGAATAATTGATAATTTGAAATAGGCAAAAAGGTCCAAAGAGGTAGGGGTGAAGGGACGGGAAGGGGAAAGGAAAGAAGGGAAAGGAAAAACTATGAGAAAAGAAAAAAAAAATGGAAATGATGTCTGTGTAAATAGGGAAGGGTGGAGGGGGTGAAGGGCGCACAGGTAATGGGGAAAAAATAAGAACCAAGATATATCATGTACAGGTACAAGCACCCAATGATAAATGTAAATGTATTGTATACCTAAAATGTACAGATAAAAGAACTGAAGAATAAATAAATAAACAAATAATAAATAAATAAATAAATAAATACTGGGCTGACCCAATTTAGACTGGGTGGTCAGTGAGGCCTGTGTCAGAGGTGATTATTCTGCTGAAGCATGGAGGGAGGTTGGGTTGGGCTGGCACAGTGTTGAGAGAAGTTTCCAAGCAGAGGAACAACATTCCTGAGGCAGGCAAGAGTTTTGCACGATGAACTAAAGAAAAATCAGGTACTTGGGGAGGTGAGTGGGGCACATGGAAGCTCTCTCAGGACACCCTGTTTTGGACAAGCCTCCCTAGAGTTTCCGCAAGTCCTTGTACAACATATTCAAAAATGACCAGATAAATGGAAACTTATCTTGAGGGCAGAGCCTCAGGCACTAGAGTCCTCTAATGAGCTAAGACCAGCCTGATCAATCCTCTAGACCCATGATACTGGAAAGCCAAGAGCAAACTCTGAAGCTTAAAAAGAAGCGACAACAACAAAAAATTCCCAATAAATTACTGGAATGGGGACTGGGGACTGAGCTCAGTGGTTCCGCTGCCTGCCTCGAAAGCACAAGGTCCCGAGTTTGATCCTTGGTACCAAAAAAAAAATATTACTGGATTGAAAATTCCATAGGTAGAAAGCCAAGCTCCATTCATTGCTGTATCTTAAATGGGCATTTAAAAAAAAAGGGTTTTTTAAATTTATTTTTTTGGTACCGGGGATCGAACTTGGGTCCTTGCACTTGTGAGGCAGGCAGTGGAACCACTGAGATAAATCCCTGACCCTTAAATGGGCGTTTAATAAACCTTTGCTGACTGAATGGAACTGGGAAGAAGAAACAGAACTTTGCAGAGAAAAATTAAGGTCTGGGGGAGGACCCTGGGGGACAAAGTGTGGGAAGCAAGCTTTCTGTCCTAGATCTATGTGGTCAGTGAGAAGCAACAAGGGAGCAGAAATTTTTAAAGAAGCAGCAGATCATGGAGATTGAGTACAAGCTGGAGCCAGCTTTCCTGGGTGCCAACTTGACTCTAAGTGGCTTTGGGCAAGTTATTTAAATCCTTAAATCCTCTTCGTCTGCCAAATGAGATTGAGGAGTACAGATATTCCACAGCATTCTTATAAAATCAGAGAAGATAATAATGTGGGTTGATACATTCAGAATGGTGCTTGGCACAGAGGAAGTCCTCAGGAACTATTTCTTGTAGCTATTTTGAGGAGGACGAAGAAGATGCTGGAACCATTGGTAGAACATCTTACACTGCTATCCTAACACCAAGGGATGATTCTTAGTTACTTCTTGACCCTGAGACACAGTACCCAACAAGACACCCACAGCTCTAAGGAGGAAAGGTTTATTTTGGTTCACAGTTTTGGAGATTTCAGTCCATAGTCATCTGGCTCCAAGACAGGCCATTGCAGAGGAGAGCTGTTCATGCCATGGCTGGCAGGAAGCAGAGACAGATGAAAGGAGGAGGAAAATACACCCTTCCAGGCAATGCCCCCAGTGACCCACTTCCTTTGATCAGGTTTCGCCTCTCATCATCATGTTTAGCTATAAACTTATCAGTGGACTAATCCACTGATGAATATCACACCCCCACCATTCAATCACCTCCCAAAAGCCCCACTAATGAGCTCATGAGGCTTTGGGGGGCATCTAGATATAAACCATAGCACCAAATGTCCTTGGGTTTTGGAGGTTGTGCCTTCTTTCCCTTACTTCTAACAGGATGAGTAACAGAGTCCTAGAGAAAAATTGAAGTGATAGGGCCTGGTACTCACTTCTTTGGCTTCACCACTATGGGTGGCAAATAAAAGAGATGTTGATTTTTGTTCCAGTTACCTTTGGCATTCTGAACAGATGATGCAGGGGATGCTGTGGGGGAACTCCTTTGCCTGGGGCCATAACTGTACTAGTAAGGAAATGTCACTGTGTTTTTATGACTGACATCATCCAATTTGCTTGGCTACTGTTCTCAAACACCATTCTCTGTGTTTCTAGGCAACAGCATAGGAATGGCTGGTTTGGAGAGAGATCAGTACCATCTTGGTGAGGAAGAAGATGTTTATCACACAGTGGAAGATGATGAGACCTTTTGCATGGACCTGGCCAGCAGGCCCCCTGTCCCTGTGCCCAGGCCAGAGGCCAGTGCTGCAGGTGCTCACCAGCTGCCTGACAATGAACCATACATTTCTAAAGGCAAGTGTGACAGGGAATAATGTCCATAGGGGCTCTTCAGAGCTTCTCAGCATCAATTTCTTCGCTCTCCTGGCTTGCTGAACCATGACCCAAAGATTCCTTTCCTGAATGTCTTCCAGCAAGCCCCAGGAGATAGGGTCATAGCTCAGAGCAAATTCTGGAGCAAGACTGGGGCAGTGAACAGATTCCCTTCCAGGAGGCATTCATGCACAGTTGAAAAAAGGGGTCATCAAGAACCTCAGTACATTTTTATCTCCTGAAACCCTTCTTGTTACTATTATTAATAATTTTAACACCTGACATTTATTGAAATCTACCTAGAACATGCCAATTAATCACAATATCCTTTTAGGTCAGGAACATCATTCACATTTTACAGATAGGGAAATGGAGGCTTACAAAGGTTACTCAATTACTATGGAGCTCAACCAGGCTTTGAAGCCAAGGGTTCAGCCTCCATAGCCCTGGCTTTTAGCCACTATGTTGGGTTGCCTGTCTATCTACATTAATAAAATATTGAATTTTGACTTCTTCATAATTGTCCCTGGGAAACCAGTTAGATGGCATTGTCAGTTTCACTTCTTTCAGGACTTGATTATTTAAGTACTGTAAGAGTAGAAGAATTGCCATATCTGTGCTCTGAGTCTGTATTCTGTTTTTATTTATTTTTATTTTTTTGGTACCAGGGATTGAACTGAAGTCCTTGCACTTGCAAGGCAGGTGGTGGAACCACTGCGCTAAATCTCCAGCCCCTGTATTCTGTTTTTAATATAAGCATATTGTACAAACTATGATGAAGGGAGATCATATATTGGGGCAGGTAATGCTCATCCAGAGTCCCCAGTAACTGGGTTGGTGTTGCCAGATAAAATATAGGGTGTTCTGGGCCAGGGATTTAGCTCAGTGGTTCTGCCCCCTGCCTTGCAAGCACAAGGTCCCAAGTTTGATCCCCAGCACCAAAAGGAAACAAAAGAAAAAAAAAAGATAGGGTGTTCAGTCAACTTCAAATTGCAGATAAGCAGCCATTTTAGTGTAAGTATGTTCCAAATAGTTCACTGTTCTGGCTTTGGCTTTGGTTTGTTCAATCTGACAACCCTAAATTGGGTTGTAATACATTATGAGATGTTCTGTATTCCCAAATACCATCAGTGGTCAGGCCAGCCATCTCCTTGGATAGTGTTTTCTTTGGCATGTCCAGCAGATACTGTTTGGTGTCCTTCCCTCTTCCCCCTAGCTCTCTACATTTTTGTGCCAACTGGCTAGATTCCACCTGTTTTTACTATTATCTCTTACCCTGAAGGCTTTTTCTGACCTAGGAACCTCCTCTGCCCCCTTGCAAGAGAAGCTGGAAGCACTAGAGAGTTAGCACGATGGCCTCTGCCCTCAACTAATGACTGATGAGAGTTGGTGGATGAATATCCCAGTTTGTTTGCCCTTCTGGTGGGGAAACTCTGAATTGGATGTTGCATATTGCTTTTCAGGGCTCTTAAGCTTGTCCATGGTGGTCACTTGCTTGATAAACCACCATTTATTGCCTTTGTCTTGGCTCTGTCACCTCCCAATTAGACTACTTACATTCAGATCCTTATGATCTGTTTCTGAGGGAACTACAGTAAGAAGCATTCAGATACATATTGGAAATTCCTAAATGGTAGAGGGGCTTGAGGAAGTGTAGATTGCACTTCAATGGCAGGTGGTTGAGATGTAGGTGGTTGAGGTGATTCCTAAGCCCTGTGGATTCCCAAGCCCTAGTGGACTTTCTGGGAAACCATGAGCAAGCAAAGAAAAGGAGACTGGCATGAGGTGACAAAAGGGACGATGGGTTGAAGGCCAGAACACCTGGGTTCGTCTCTCAGCTCTTGCATTTTCTGGTGTACAGTATAGAACATTGGATAGGTTGTTTTACTTTTTATCTTTAGTTTCCTTATCTATTAAATGGTTATCATAATGGTACATGTCTACATTAATATATATGTCATAGTAATACATGGTAATACTCTACCACAGCCTTAATTTGAGGGTCAGATAAAAGAATACATGGAGGAAGCACTTTTAAATTGTAAGATACTGTGTAGACATCACTTGGGTTAACTAGCATGCCAAGGTTCTGCTGTCTTACCAGCATCAGTCTTAAAGTTTAGATAAGAATAATGATAATAAAATCTAGCCCTGAGTGCTTACATGTGCTGGATGCTATCCTAAGCACTTTCCATGTATTAACTTACTTAATCCTCATGACAATCCAGTGAAGATACAAATAAGAGGTGGAGGAAGGAAGAGGTCAAGCCGCTTGTGCAAGATCATATAACTCCTAAGTGACAGAGCCAGGATTTGAATTCAGGGACATCTCGTGCTTGCTTCGGCAGCACATATACTAAAATTGAATTCAGAGACATCTCAATTTGAGCCCAGGAAACCATAATGACCATGCCATCTTAGCACTAAGGGCATATTTGTCACTTTCCTGTTTTATCCGTTTTCCTTTCTGATTCTGTCCTTCATCAGTGACTTGATTTTGGTTCCTTTGGAGCTATGCACACACTTTTCTGCTTAGAGTCCTATCTCATGGCATGGTTGGTCTAAATGCTAGATACTTCCTTTTATTCTTCCACTTCAAGGTCTCCCATGACTAGCTTTAGGTGTTTTATGATCTGGGCATACTTCCTTATTCCTATTATCCTTTTCTTTAATGATCTTTTTTCTTTTTTTACCCTTTTCTTTAATGATTTTGTAAGTGCTGATCATGTCCTTTGGCTAGCTTTAGCTTTCTCAGTTTGACAGCTTGTCGGTCTGGCCTGTCTTATGTGACAATCTCTACAGCATCTCATTAGTTGTTTCTTTCAGGAGTTTTTTATGAGAGAACTGTAACCCAGGGGCAGTAGGTATACATTCCTTTTTGCACAAGATTTTGATAAAAATTTTTGTAAAAATATAAAATATTATAGAATCCTTAAGAAAGAATTACAAATGCAAACATTGTCTATGTCATAAACGTGGGCTAAGATTAATAATATCAATAAGAATGAAAATGAGTAAAGGGAATTTAAAGGAGGAGAGAGGGAGGTGGGAAGGAAGGGGAAAAGGATTAAAAAAGAAACAAGCTGTATTATGTACATGTATACACTCCTCAAGATGATTGTAAACTGCATGTACTGCAAACATGTACTAACAAAAAAGTTTAACAAGTTTTTTTAAAAAGAAAGAAATGACTTGGCTTTTACTCAGAATATCCTTTCTCTCACAGTTTTTGCAGAAAAAAGTCAAGAGCAGCCTGGGAATTTGTATATTTCCTCAGAGAGCCTCCGGAAAGGTAAGCCAACTTGTCCTCAACTTCCTTTTGTATGAGTGAAACTTTAATGGGATAGAGGGTTCATACCTCAGGGCCTTCTCAGGGTAATGGCTCCTTCACATTGCAAAATAGTGACCCAAGAGATGCGTTAGGATGAAGCTGTCAGAGTCCTGTACTGAAGATAAAGGGAGAAGGGAGGCCCTAAAATACTGTACAAACTGATTATATGGAGGACCCTAAAATACCAGAAAGTGTCACTCCACATAAAAGTACAATCTAAACATTGAGATTAATGCCAACAGGATGCCAGTGAGCAGCTCAGCACCCAGTCTTTATCTGTGATATAGCCCTTCTGGCCTGTTTATTCTGTCTATACTAGCTCAGTCATGCTTTGATTAATCTTTAATTTTGAAGACATTTTCTTGCTGTTGGGTAAGAACTTGGACATTACATTCTTTTAAAGAGTTTTTATAGAAGTTTGAGGAGCTAAATGCTCTCCCTCCCGTCATTAATTTGCTTGTGCTAAATAGAGGCATTCATTATTATTCCATTGAGGATTCTTTTGGAAAGTAGCCATGACTCAATCTAAGCATTTAAAGGCATCTCAAAGGACTATGGTAGTGGGAGGTTGGAACTGATTGGCTTAAGCTTTTGTTTACTCTCCCACCCCATCTCTCAAAACCTTGAAAAGGCCAAACCTGGTCAAAGGGTATGTAAGTGTTTGGACTCAGATGAATGAATGGTTAGTCAGACAATAGATAAACTTCACTTTTTTTCCACCAGTATTCATTGGTGAAGCCATCTGTCTTTTTCCATCTCGTTGTGTCCCTGAATCACAGTGCCCATGCTGGAGAGATTCGGAACCAAATAGTCCTAAATGTATCAAGAAATAAAATGTCAGTTGTCCTCACAAGTCCCAGTGGCCACAAGTCCCTGTCATCTCTGCAAGTAGATCATTCCCTGAGGAACTAAGGTCATAGACTGGAGAGGGGGTAGTTGGCCTTATGTTTCCCTAGACTCTCCAAAGCAGAGAACTATGCATTTGTAATATGGAAGAGAGGCTGGCACAGAACAACCCAAGGATAGCTAGCTATAACCCAGCACTTCATTGATACCTAGTACTACTGGATCTGGGTCACAATATCATTAGTGTTTGGTGTCCTCCAGCATTTCATACTGGTTAGTCTATAATCACTGCTGAGATAGGGCTGGGAGTGGAGATGGAAGAAACATCTTGGCTAGACTCTTCTTATATATTCTCTTCTAGAAGTGGATTAAGTCTAAAGCGGTAGTTCTCATGTGAAGGTGATTTTTCCTTCTCCAGAGGACATTTGGCAGCATCTGAGAACATTTTTGGTTGCCACAACTGGGGAAAAGAGGGCTGCTGGCACCAAGTGGGTAGAGGCTAAGGATGCTGCTAAACATCCTACAAGGCACAGGACAGCTCCACAACCAAGAACCTTCCAGCCCCAAATGTCAGTAGTATCAGGGTTGTGTTTTCTCCTTCTTGGCTTCCCATGTAATTGTTCTTTTGTAATGTGCCCTTTTGAGTCTGTGAGCAGCCTTGTCACCCATTCCTTAGGTCCCCCCCCCCGACACTGGGGAGCTATCAGGCTAAGTTCTGCTATCTTTTCAGAGTCGCCTGTCAGACTATGGAGAGACAGGCCCCAGTCAAGTATATATGATCCATTTGCTGGGATGAAGACGCCAGGCCAGCGGCAGCTCATCACTCTGCAGGAGCAGGTGAAGCTGGGCATCGTCAATGTGGATGAGGCTGTGCTGCACTTCAAGGAATGGCAGCTCAACCAGAAGAAAAGATCTGAGTCCTTTCGCTTCCAGCAGGTAGCCAGCACTGTCTGTCAGAAGCTATTTCATGTCATTTTGCCACTGGAGAGTGGGGGAGGCGGGTGGCAGTTGTCCAGTGTTGCTCCAACTGAGCACCTATGGCTGTGCCTGTAAACATTGTCAGTGTGTCCTTGTGAGTGACTATGCATCTGTGTCCCTGGCCTGGACATATATCTCCCTATGTTTTTTATGGGTTTTTTTTTTGGTACTGGGGATCGAAATCGGGTCCTTGTGCTTGCACAGCAAGTGGCGAAACCACTGAGTTAAATCCCCGGTCCATTCTCCCTATGTTTTTAACTAAATACTACTGGGAAACACATCCCTAATCTAATGCCTGCAATTACACAAGAAAAAATTGGGTCCAGGGGCTAAGGGACATGTCCAAGGTCACTACCACCATGAACGACTGAGTCAGAATGGGAGCATTTTCCCTCTACCTCAATGGGATGTGTATTTCAGCCCTGATCTCCCAGCATCTGACACACCAGCTACCTGGGCACTGGAGTGTGCAGCAGCCATCAGGCTCTGAGAGGAAACATGGCGCCTAGTCGTGGAAACAAATGCTGGGGAGCAGTGAACAGTAAGGCAGAAGCACCAGTGGTGAGGTCTGACAGCAGCATGTTGGGCTCTGTACTGTGCATTCAGTAGACATTTAATCTCTAGCTCCTCACAGCGTGCATGCAGAGGAAGTATCATCACTCCCATTTCAAAGAAAACTGAAGCTCAGATTGGTGCAGAGACAGTTAGGATTCAAACCTGCTCTGGAATGAGCCTAACCTTTCATTGCACCTTCTGCTTCCTTAGTGCTCCTTAAAGTGGGGAACCCTCTCTTCCAGGTGCCTCCTTCCTTTTGGGCCCTGAAGGATGAATGCTGAATGCAGGAATCAGGGTCCTCCTCACTCAGGTGCCCCAGGGCAACTACAAGCCTGCTGAAAAAAGTTCAGCCCTGGCCAAAGAATGATTTTTTTTTTCCTTACCAATATTTGTGACCATGTAGCACAATAGCTATAGGAAGCTATGGTTCTGGAGGCAGCAGCCTAAGTTTATATTCTTGTTCTGCTACTTGCAGCTGGATGATCTTGACCTTGCTGTGCCTCCATTTCCCCACATCTGAAACGTGAAGGGGGAAGACCAGATGATGCAAGCCTGTAAGGCCCTTAGAATGCATGGTGCCGAGTAAATCCATACGAAATGTGAACTATCAGTAGGCCTCTTCTTTCCCAGAACTCCTGCTGAGTGTAAGAGATAGCTGTGATTTATGTTCAGCACAGTAGAGAACCCTAGCCCACTGGAGCACAGTGTCCTGCATTCTGACAGCTTCCTGATGGTTCCTAAACCTCCCCCATCCATGGTTGGTGATATGGAGGCTATCTCTCAGGTGACCCATCTTCCTTTTCCTCTGCCTTTCAGTCCACTCCTCTATCTTCTTAAGTTCCCTTTTCCATAAATGAGTGCTGCTCAGGTTCTCATCAGCACCTCCTCTGTGCAGGTAACACTTGAGTCTGTGTCTCCAGTCCCATGACTCCATCAGCTGGGTGTGTCCTCCTGAGTTGCCCTAGACCTGCTGCATGTCCAACAACAACCATCTTTCAAGGCAACTTCCTTTCCTGACTCCCTCTTTCTGTTTACTGCTCTGCCATCTCCCAGAGACTTAAGGTTAGACTTTAAGTTTCTAAGGCTCTTCTCCCAGCTTCCGCAGCTCCATGTCTTGCCTGCTCTTGCTTTGTGGTGGTTTTCCTCTCATATCTGGCCCTATCTTTCCATTCCCCCAACCACATACCACTATCAGTCCTGTCCCTACAGATGGCCTGGTGCCTCATCTCCATTCTTGCCTTCAACTCCTCCCTGTCCAGTTCGCCAGAATCTTAAAGCCATGACAACCTCACAACTTTCAGATGTCTTTCTGCTTTCTGCATAAGGCTCCATCTCTCAGCCTGACAACTGACCTTTCTAGTTTGGCCTCTGGTGACTCCCTCACCGAATTTTCTACTTCAGCCAGATTGATAGGATCTTTTCCCAATGGTGTTGAAAGCTCAGACGCTAACTTCCCTAGAATGCTTAGATACTGGTGTTGACTGATTAAAACAGAAAAAATCTTGACCCTGAAATATCTATTCAACACTTATTGAATGATTACAGTGGACCAGATGGCAGGACTGTACAAGACTTAGTCTTTTGCCCTTGAAGAGTCCACATATCCTGAAGGGGCAGGGCACACACACACACACATACGCGTGCGCAGAATGGTGTAATCCAAGTGCCAGATGGCTGGCATGGACACCACTAAGGACTGGAGGCTATCAGGGAGAAGGTGGGTCTTGCTTGAGTCAGGCCTGAAACAAACTTATTGAGAGGAATCAGCATCTCTTAAGGTCAGGGGGATGAGGAAACAATGCAGCCTCAGAGACAAGAATTTATGCAGAGTGCCAGAAGAGCAGAGCCCCACCCAGCAATGAGGTAAGCTTTTTGGCCTGCCGTACCACTACCCCCAGCACAGAGGAGCAGAGGCCCCCAGCGCCAAGCAACTGAGCCTTTTGGGCTGCCGTACAACTGCCTTCAGCCCAGAGTAGCAGAGCCCCACCCAGCACCGAGGATGTGAGCCATGAGGGTGCCTGCAGCAACCCCCCCCCCCGCATTGAAATGAGAAGACACGTAAACAAGTCTCAAAATCAGACTTCTAGATCACCTAAAGCAAACCCAAAGATAAACGAGATGGGACAATCTGAAACTCAACCACCTGGACTCCCTGAACTGACAACAAAAGAGGATCTAGAAAAAATGAAATCAGAAATAATTTCTCAGATAACAGCAAAGATTGTGGCCATAGTGCAAGACATGATTAATAAATCTAGAGAGGACACAGATAAAAAAATAAAGGAGCTGAGGAACATGATGGAATCCCAACATAGAAACAAATGGAATCCATAAAATAGATACAAACAGATTTCCAGGAGATTAAAAACTCCACTGAAAGTTTACACAGCAGAAGGAGCCAATGTGAGGACAGAATTTCAGATATAGAAGATAAGATTGCAATTAGTGACCAGGTAAAGAAAAATTTCTTTAAAATTGTAAGGAACCACAAGAAATCAATCCAGCAGCTACTAGACAATGCAAAGAAGACTAGCATAAGACTGATTGGAGTCAATGAAGAAACAGGAGAGACTGCAGATGACATTAAAAAAAACTGTTCAGAGAAGTGATGGTAGAAAACTTCCCAAGCAAGGAAAAACAACTTGACATACAGATAAGTGAGGCATATAGGACTCCAACTATCCTTGATCAAAAAAAATCTACACATAGGCATATAATAGTTAGGATTCCAGAAGCCCAACAGAAGAACAAAATTCTACAGGCTGTTAGAGAAAAAAAAAATCACATACAAAGGAAAGCCTATCAGAATCACAGCAGACTTCTCAATGCAAACCCTCAAGGCAAGAAGAGCCTGGAGTGATGTATTTCAAGCCCTAAAAGAAAAAAGCCTCCAACCCAGATTCATGTACCTGCAAAATTATCTTTCAAAATTGATGAAGAAATAAGATACTTTCATGACAAAGAGCACCTTAGGAGCTTCATGAATACCAAACCAGCACTCCAAAAAGTTTTAGGCAATATCCTAGAAAAAGACAATGAGGATCACAACCTAGGAAGCCCAGCAGAATGAATCCATTGGGCATGACAAGAAATTAAATGCAAAGGGGGAGAATCCAACAAAAAGAAAAAGTCATGACAATGATAAGTCAGTACGTATCAGTTATAACCATCAATGTTAATGGTCTCAATTCATCATTCAAATAAGTAGACTGGCAGAATGGGTCAAGAAGCAAGATCCAACAATATGCTGCATACAAGAAACACACTTAATTAAAAAAGAAACTCATAGACTGAAAGTTAAAGGATGGAAACAATACTCAGTGTGACAGGAACCTGAAAAAAAGCAGGAATAGCTATCCTCTTTGCAGATCAAGTGGATTTCAAAACAAAATCTGAAACACTTTTGGTCCCAAGAATTTCAGATAAGGGATAGTCAACTTATATGTACAAATCTATTGTGAACATGTATTTTCATTCCTCTTAAGTAAAAAGTTAAGAACAGAAATGTTGATTCTTAACAGTAATACAAGTAATTTCTATATTGTTTTCCAAAATGGTTTTATCATTTTACATTCACATTAGCAGTATTTGAAAGTCCTGATTCACACCTAAGCTGACATCTGTTTTTTTAAAACTTTTAACTTCATCTCCCTAATGAGTGTATAATATGATCTTGTTATTGTACCGATTAGTATTTTTCTGATTCTAGTGTTGCACACCTTTCCTTGTGTCTACTTTTTAATTGAGTTGTCTATTATTGAGCTGTAAGAGTTCTTTATATATTCTGGCCATAGGTCATATGTATTATACATATGGTCTGTTTAAGTACTAATTTTCATTTTCTTAACAATGTCATTTAAAGTTCTAAATTTTGATTTATCATTTATCAATTTTTTTCTTTTATACACCATGTTTTTTGTATCCTAGAAAATTCTTGCCTACCCTAAATTCATGAAGATTTTCCCTTATAATGTCTTCTTAAAGTTTTATACTTTTAGGCTTTCATATTTAGGTTCATAGATCCTTTCAAGTTATCTTTATGTATGGAAATAAAGGGTTGAGGTGAATTTTTTACATACAGATAATAGGTGTTCTAGTACTATTTTCTGAAAACACTATCTTTTCCTCTGCACTTGAGTTGAGTTTACAGTCTATAAAATGTTAATGCTAAATAATCTTTCAAAACTCAGTGGACCATATATGTGTGGTTCTATTTCCAGACTTTCTGTTTTATTCCAATGATCTATATGCCTTTCCTTACACCAACACTGCCTTGATTACTGTAGCTTTAGAGGAAGTCTTAAAATTAGGTACTAAA